ATCACCAACAATATCATGAACAACCTGCCCCATCACCAACAATATCATGAACAACCCACCCATCACTAACAATATAATGAACAACCCGCCCCATCACCAACAATATCATGAACAACCTGCCCCATCACTAACAATATCATGAACAACCTGCCCCATCACTAACAATATCATGAACAACCTGCCCCATCACCAACAATATAATGAACAACCTGCCCCATCACCAACAATATAATGAACAACCTGCCCCATCACCAACAATATCATGAACAACCTGCCCCATCACTAATATAATGAACAACCTGTCCCATCACCAACAATATCATGAACAACCTGCCCCATCACTAATATAATGAACAACCTGTCCCATCACCAACAATATCATGAACAACCTGCCCCATCACTAACAATATCATGAACAACCTGTCCCATCACTAACAATATAATGAACAACCTGTCCCATCACTAACAATATAATGAACAACCTGTCCCATCACCAACAATATCATGAACAACCTGCCCCATCACTAACAATATAATGAACAACCTGCCCCATCATTACCATACTTAAGGGGAAGCGCTAAACCCACAAGGGTCAACCACCCAGGGGAAGGGAATAACAAGTAACAATCACGTTCGATACAAGTTATGAATAATATAATAATGGTATATTAAAATTAGGAGACATGGGGGCTCCAACACCCGGGATCAAGAGCCCAGCATCAATAAGCAACATTAAACCACCGTTATATACCTCTAACGATCAATAAAAATTTAATTTTAAAAAAGTATGTAAACTGTATACTGAACGTGAGGAAAAAAAAATTCATTTTTTTTATTTCAGAATTATAAAAAAATAGAAATTGTTTCTTGATGTAGTACAAAAAAAAAATGTAGTTTATGTAATAAAATATTTTGGTGCAAAAAAAAGCTTATAGTATTTAGGGCAAACTAATAATAATATTCATAATAATAATAATAATAATAATAACATCCCAAGGAACACACTGGAAAGTCCTCGCTGATCTTTCTTCGGGGTTATCCTGCGTAATTTACGTTATTAAGTATAATAATCGTAGCTAAATAACCTTACTAACCTCTTTATGTGTTAATTAGTGTTGTGTAGTAATAAGAGAGGAAGAGCAGCACCGTCCTCCCTCCACGACTCTCACACACACACTGACCGTCCTCGTGTCTTCCCTCTTAACTTAGTAAGTAATAAGTAAGTAAGTTTATTCAGGTATACACAAATACAGTTACATAGAATTATCATACATAGCAGCATATGTGTAGAGAACCTAGGATAACCCAAAAAAGTCAGACAGAGTGACTTAGTGACTAGTTGTTATAAATGGTAGAAAATTACCACAAGGTGATCATTTGAGACACATGTTATCTTGGGTGTCCTTATTGATGTAACGTTTCGCCCACACAGTAGGCTTCTTCAGCCAAATACAGAGGGAGCAGTAGTAGTAAAATAAAGATGTAGTCAGTCCCTCAGTCTTGGAGAAAATGTATTTGAGGGGGATCAGTCCCTCAGCCTCAGGGACTGACCCCCCCTCAAGTACACTTGAGTACAGTTATCAGGTGCACAGACCCCTGGCTGTCTTCAAGCAGGCACTGGACAGGCACCTAAAGTCGATACCTGACCAGCCGGGTTGTGGCTCGTACGTTGGATTACGTGCAGCCAGCAGTAACAGCCTGGTTGATAGGCCATGATCCACCATGAGGCCTGGTCACAGACCGGGCCGCGGGGGCGTTGATCCCCGGAACTCTCTCCAGGTATACTCCAGGTGTAGTTATCAGGTGCACGTGGGTAATTTACAATTATGTATAATAATTTGTATAACTATTATTGTGTACCTGTACTTAAATAAACTTTAATAACAAAAATATTCCCATTAAGGTGTCCCGTTGTTCGGTTGGTAGCGCACTCAACTCACACTGAAGTCCGTGATTCGATCTCCGGTACGGGCGGAAACATTGGGGTGTGTTTCCTTAAGACACCTGTTGTCCCTGTTGACCTAGCAGTAAGTAGGTACCTGGGTGTTAGTCGACTGGTGTGGGTCGCATCCTGGGGACAAATTAATGCTCTGCATAAGGAACTTTCTATATAGTAGTATGTCATTGATGTCAGCTATAGTTTGTATACGTTATATCATGTAGATGATGATTGTTATTGGGGTCACTTGTTCTGTTACCCGTAGGGGCTTAGCTCAAGATTATATTATTATTAATGGGTTTATTTCTGGGTGTTTCATTCTTAACTACTGTGTCGTTGTTGGTTTTTCCCCAATTTATCAGGAAATTTTACACTAATATGTAATTTAAGATATACTGGCATATATTTTTGTTACTTAGGATATACTGGCATATCTCTGTTTAACACGCCCCATTTTTCCACCCATGCCAGGGATCGAATCACGAACACCAGCGTGTGAAGCAAGAGCGTTGCCTACCAGGCCACGGGCCATCTAGGAATGCTATAATACCTAAAAACAGGAATTAAGACAGACGCTGCAGGCAGGCACTGGACAAACAGCCGGGCTGTGGCTCGTACGTTGGATTGCGTGCAGCCAGCAGCAACAGCCTGGTTGATCAGGCTCTGATGCACCAGGAGGCCTGGTCACAGACCGGGCCGCGGGGGCGTTGAGCCCTGGAACTCTCTCCAGGTAAACTGAGAAATATTTATCAGACACTTAGCAACTCTAAATTTATAATTATCGTCAAATTTGTTGATTTCGTTCCATTACTCAATTCGTCCTAGTGGGAAAGCTGAGCCGATGTATACAATTTATATTGGGAAGGCTAGGCCTATAAGGGAGGCCTACTTCATGGATCAAGAGCCTCTCTTCGGTGATTATTTTTATTACTAATACTATTATTATTTTTGTAATTATTAGTAGTGGTAGTAGTAGATTATTGTAATAATTATTATTAGTAGTATTAGTATTATTATTAGTAGTAACACTATTACTACTGAGGTTAATTTTGAGACGCTGAATAAAACTCTGACACTCAGATATTTACAATTTATTATGAAAAATACAGATTTAATGAGAGGAAAATGTGAAGATGTGGGAGTTTAGATGAAGAAGGAACAAGGCGGCCACCTCGAAGTGTAACACTGACTACCACTGCTACCTGCACTCTGGTGGGGGGTGGTAGTTGTGGTAGTAGTAACGGTGGTGCTGGTGGAGCATGTCTGATGGTGATGATGGTTGTGGTCGAAAAAGTCTGGTGGTGGTAGTTGTAATGGTGCAGCAACACGTCTGGTGGTGGTAGTTGTGGTAATAGTGCAGCAACGTCTAGTGGTGATGGTAGAAGTGGTGGTGGAGCAACACGTCTGGTAGTTGTGGTGGTGATGGTGGAGTAACACGTCTGGTAGTGGTGGCAGTGGTGGTGGTGCAGCAACACGTCTGGTAGTGGTGTTGGTGGAGCAACACATCTGGTAGTGGTGATGGAGCAACACGTCTGGTAGTGGTGGCGGTGCAGCAACACGTCTGGTAGTGGTGGCAGTGGTGATGGTGGAGCAACACGTCTGGTAGTGGTGATGGTGGAGCAACACGTCTGGTAGTGGTGGCAGCGGTGGTGGTGCAGCAAGACGTCTGGTAGTGGTGATGGTGGAGCAACACGTCTGGTAGTGGTGATGGTGGAGCAACACGTCTGGTAGTGGTGGCAGCGGTGGTGCAGCGAGACGTCTGGTAGTGGTGATGATGGTGGAGTAACACGTCTGGTAGTGGTGGCAGTGGTGGTGGTGCAGCATCACATCTGGTAGTGGTGATGGTGGAGCAACACATCTGGTAGTGGTGATGGTGGAGCAACACATCTGGTAGTGGTGATGGTGGAGCAACACATCTGGTAGTGGTGATGGTGGAGCAACACATCTGGTAGTGGTGATGGTGGAGCAACACATCTGGTAGTGGTGATGGTGGAGCAACACATCTGGTAGTGGTGATGGTGGAGCAACACATCTGGTAGTGGTGATGGTGGAGCAACACATCTGGTAGTGGTGATGGTGGAGCAACACATCTGGTAGTGGTGATGGTGGAGCAACACATCTGGTAGTGGTGGTGGTGGAGCAACACATCTGGTAGTGGTGATGGTGGAGCAACACATCTGGTAGTGGTGATGGTGGAGCAACACATCTGGTAGTGGTGATGGTGGAGCAACACGTCTGGTAGTGGTGATGATGGAGCAACACATCTGGTAGTGGTGATGGTGGAGCAACACGTCTGGTAGTGGTGATGGTGGAGCAACACGTCTGGTAGTGGTGGCAGCGGTGGTGGTGCAGCAAGACGTCTGGTAGTGGTGATGGTGGAGCAACACGTCTGGTAGTGGTGATGGTGGAGCAACACGTCTGGTAGTGGTGGCAGCGGTGGTGCAGCGAGACGTCTGGTAGTGGTGATGATGGTGGAGTAACACGTCTGGTAGTGGTGGCAGTGGTGGTGGTGCAGCATCACATCTGGTAGTGGTGATGGTGGAGCAACACATCTGGTAGTGGTGATGGTGGAGCAACACATCTGGTAGTGGTGATGGTGGAGCAACACATCTGGTAGTGGTGATGGTGGAGCAACACATCTGGTAGTGGTGATGGTGGAGCAACACATCTGGTAGTGGTGATGGTGGAGCAACACATCTGGTAGTGGTGATGGTGGAGCAACACATCTGGTAGTGGTGATGGTGGAGCAACACATCTGGTAGTGGTGATGGTGGAGCAACACATCTGGTAGTGGTGATGGTGGAGCAACACATCTGGTAGTGGTGGTGGTGGAGCAACACATCTGGTAGTGGTGATGGTGGAGCAACACATCTGGTAGTGGTGATGGTGGAGCAACACATCTGGTAGTGGTGATGGTGGAGCAACACATCTGGTAGTGGTGATGGTGGAGCAACACATCTGGTAGTGGTGATGGTGGAGCAACACATCTGGTAGTGGTGATGGTGGAGCAACACATCTGGTAGTGGTGATGGTGGAGCAACACATCTGGTAGTGGTGGTGGTGGAGCAACACATCTGGTAGTGGTGGTGGTGGAGCAACACATCTGGTAGTGGTGATGGTGGAGCAACACATCTGGTAGTGGTGATGGTGGAGCAACACGTCTGGTAGTGGTGATGATGGAGCAACACATCTGGTAGTGGTGATGGTGGAGCAACACGTCTGGTAGTGGTGGCAGCGGTGGTGCAGCGAGACGTCTGGTAGTGGTGGTGATGGTGGAGCAACACGCTTGGTTGTTGTGATGGTGATAACAATCACTATCCTAGTCCCTCTCCCAACGATCTGGAGAAGCAACATCAGTAGTCAAGCATCCTTATTTTAGGCATGTCAAAATGTAAACACCTTCACAATATTGATAGTTATGATCAATGAATGGTTATGTTACTTCTCGAAATCAAATATGATGGATATATACAGTCAGCACAGTTTGATTAACAGTCTTATTTAACCGTAATGAATGACTGGTTGGTCAGCTACAGTAAAAAATTCTGCTGTTGAGTATTGTGGTGCGATATTTAACTGGTAATTATTAGAATGATGGGTGAATTTTTATTCACCAATCATTTTTACTGTAGCTGACCAACCAGTCTTTCATTACGGTTAAATAAGTCTGTTAATCAAACTGTGTACTGACTGTATATATCCATCATAATTGATTTCGAGAAGTAACATAACACTTATTGATCATAATTGTCAATATTGTGAAGGTGATTGCATTTGACATTCTTAAAATAATAAAGTTAGTAATGTATAAATAAATGTACCTGGGAACATTATCGACAACTAACACACACCTGGTCAAACACGTCAAGAAATTAGAGAACCTGGAGTTTACCTGGAGAGAGTTCCGGGGGTCAACGCCCCCGCGGCCCGGTCTGTGACCAGGCCTCCTGGTGGATCAGAGCCTGATCAACCAGGCTGTTGCTGCTGGCTGCACGCAAACCAACGTACGAGCCACAGCCCGGCTGATCAGGAACTGACTTTAGGTGCAAAGGTTTGCAACAAGACTAGTCCCAGAGCTAAAGGGTATGTCCTACAAGGAGAGGTTAAGGGAAATCAACCTGACGACACTGGAGGACAGGAAGGACATGATAACGACATAAAATACTGAGAGGAACTGACAAGATGGATAGGGAGAACGTTTCAGAGGTAAGACGCAGCAACAAGGGATCACAACTGGAAGTTGAAAACTCAGATGACTCGCAGGGATGTCAGGAAGTACTTCTTCAGTCATGGAGCTGTCAGGAAATGGAACAATTTGGAGAGGGATGTAATCGAGACTGGATCCATACATAGCTTAAAGAAGAGGTACTACAAGGCTCTTAGAGCAGGAAGAGAGTGGACCTAGTAGCAATCAGTGAAGAGGCGGGGGCCAGGAACTGCGTCTCGACCCCTGCAACCACAAACAGGTGAGTACACACACCTATTTTTCAGTATTGTAAACTGGTACATTAGTAAGACTCTCCTGCATCACCCTGATATATTATGTTGCTCAAAATGCGAAATTTATGAGAGGGGCAGCTGCAGCCGGCCCAATAAAGATAACTCTGGGATTTTATTTCACAAATGTGATAGAAATTTATAAAATACGTGAGGCTGTATGTAAGTGAATCACTTGCTGCCTGGACTGGCACTACATCTGCTGTTGCTACTAGTCATGTACTGCTGCTGCTGCTGCTGCTTGCTAGTCATGTACATCAACGTTCTAGTTACTATTCCTGCTGCTAGTGACATAAATCTCTGTTCAGGCCACTAACCTGTGGGAGGTTGAAGAAGGTCAGCAGCAGCAGCAGGAGGCGGTGAAGAGACGTGGTCAGGGCCCGTGTGGGGAGGAGAGGAGGATAGAAGCAGAAGCAATGATGGTAAACAGCAGGAAGCAGGCCAGCAGGAACCTGTCGACCACCAGCGCCACCTATGACCACAGAGTAAACACGTGTTAGCTGCAGCAGACAATTTAAAGCTTATCAAGCAAACAAACCATGGTATGGATGGGGTTAGAACCCATGGCAAGTGAGTCGTAACACTCCAGGCCAGTGCTTGTCACATATACATCACCACTATTACCATATCTACCACCAGACGTGTTTCTCCACCACAACCACCAGACATGTTCCACCAGCACCACCGTTACTACTACCATAACTACCACCCCCTCCAGAGGGCAGGTAGAAGTTGTAGTGAGAGTTACACTTGCTTCATGGTGGCTGCCTGGTTAAGGTTCATCCTTCCTGCTTCATCTAGTCAATACTGTTCCACATTCCCCCTAGCTTTAACTGAACAAAGTCAACATTGTTCCACATTCCTAATTTATAACTGAACAAAGTCAATATTGCTCCACATTTACCCTAGCTTATAACTGAACAGTCAATATTGTTCCACATTCCTCCTGGTTTATAACTGAACAAAGTCAATATTGTTCCACATTCATCCTAGCTTATAACTGAACACAAAAATCTGTCAAAAATTATTGAAAAACACACACTTGATATTATTTAGTGAAAGGAATGTGTGGGTAGGCCTGGCTGATAGCCTCATTCATAATAGGATCAGAAGAACGCGCCATTAAATCCCTTTCAGTCGTGTTTCAATCGTGTTCCCGGCCAGCAATGCTCTATTAAAAAAAAACGTTTTTCACTTACCCAAATACGAAAAAAATACAAAAAAAAAAAAAAATGACGGGTGGGGGGAATAAATCTGGCGGCCGCTGTGATATTATCTGCAATTCCTGTGGATAAATTGTGATGACAATATATAACTTCTCTAGGCTGACGGAACTGTGGCCAAATATGTATTTATATAATTCTCTGATAACAGTGCTTAGGCCTACAGGGGGAGGAGAACTGGGGAGGGGGAGGGAGGATAAGGAAGAAGCAGGAAGGATAAGGGGGAAGCAATGAGAGAGAGAGACAGACAGACTGACAGGAGAGAGGTAAGACAAAGGACAGAGATACGATAATGAGAAATAAATGAGATATAAATCAGAGACGAAAGATAAAGGTAAACAGGTTACATATACTGTTCCCTAACGTTGTTATAAGCGACCATCTTAGTGTCAACGCAGCGTTCGCGTCAGCAAGACGACTCCTCTGTTATGCTTAATAAACACAATATAGGGCTGGATACGGCGCAACACTCTCATAGTCCTATAAACCTTAACATAGAGTACGTAGATGCACTCTTGAACACTTTTATCACTATCTAGGTACTCTTGAACACTTTTATCACTATCTAGGTACTCTTAAGAGAGAACACTTTTATCACCATCTAGGTACTCTTGAACACTTTTATCACTATCTAGGTACTCTTGAACACTTTTATCACTATCTAGGTACTCTTAAGAGAGAACACTTTTATCACCATCTAGGTACTCTTGAACACTTTTATCACCATCTAGGTACTCTTGAACACTTTTATCACCATCTAGGTACTCTTGAACACTTTTATCACCATCTAGGTACTCTTGAACACTTATCACTATCTAGGTACTCTTGAACACTTTTATCACCATCTAGGTACTCTTGAACACTTTTATCACTATCTAGGTACTCTTGAATACTTTTATCACTATTTCATTGAAAAATGAAAAAAATATGTTCATGAAAGAGTTGGGAAATATGATGGCATGCAAGGCATGGAAATAAGTCACATTGACTTTTGTGGTTTATTATGGAGGGTGATTTACACATGTTACTATGTATGATAATTTGTATAATTGCATATATGTGTACCTGTACCTAAATCAACTTCCAGCAATGGCCAGACTCAAGCTGGAGACACTAAGCTAGCAGCACCACAACAACAGTACTGATGTTGAGTGAAGATTGCACTCACTGCTATGCTTCAGAATTATTTATAGTACTTGGGTTTGCACTGAAGGCTTTGGACAGGCACTTAAGTCAGTACCTGATCAGCCGGGGTGTGGTTGGTACGTAGGTTTACGTGCGGCCAGAAGTAACAGCCTGGTTGATCAGGCCTTGATCCACCATGAGGACTGGTCACAGACCGGGCCGCGGGGTCGTTGACCCCCGAAACCCTCTCCAGGTATCAACATCTCTCTCACCAGTGATAACTTTTCATGAGATGGGATCTTCCCACTACATACAAAGCAGAAAGTAACTAAGGCATTAATCCAATTCCTCGGAACAAGTAGCAAACATCACAGTATCTAAACACCATCAGTAACACAACATTTTCACCTGACAAGCGCGCAACAAGATATTACTGAGACAACACAATTCCCAGCCTAGTGGAAATGATGGTTATGTTTCCTTATACCTGCTGTCACTGTTCACCTAGCAGTAAGTAGGTACCTGGGTGTTAGACACCTTACACCTGCTGTCCCTGTTCACCTAGCAGCAAGCAGATACCTGGGCGTTAGCCCACTGTTGTGGGTAGCATCCTGGGGGTGGGAGTATATCTTAGATAGGGTTGGGCTTCGAAATGAACTGAGGCAGGATAACAGCTCTTAGCCTGTAAAATTGATCAGTGAGAAAGAAAACGGTTACTCCACATGACAACTGGTGCAGCCATCTTCAATTCAAATTCAAAGTTTATTCTCTATAAAGATTACAATGTTGAATTTACAGAATTTAGTTGTTGTGTGGTTTACATGTGGGAAGAACCTTTCGATAAGAACGAGACAAATCTCAACAGGAAGTTCGTGCAAGACTACACAGTAACCTTATTTATAGCCAGCAATATATGGAGGGTTGCAGATGGCGCTGGTGGGAATATTGCAACGCGAGGGGGTGAGAGATTTATAGCTACCTGTTATCTCTGCAGACACTAAATTCTCTCCCTGATATAGCCACGAGACCATGTCTGAATGGTCAGGGTGAAGTATTGTCTGATCCTCCATTGAGGTACAGGAACTGATGGAAAATGAGGGATGGGGACGAGGGGGAAGGAAGAACTGAAGGATAACAGTAAATGGTAAATATTTCATCACAGTAAATGATAAATATTTCATCACAGTAAATGATAAATATTTCATCACAGAGTGACCAATGGAATGATTTAAAAGACATAAGGGAGGAGGTAAATTGGGTTTTGTGTGGAAAGGGCTTCGACATGCAGCAGGCATGTGTGAGCGTGTTAGGAGTCAATGGAGACGAATGGTTTTTGGGACTTGACGAGCTGTTGGAGTGTAAGGTAATATTTTGTGAAGGGATTCTGGGAAACCGGTTAGCCGGACTTGAGTCCTGGAGGTGGGAAGTACAATGCCTGCACTTTAAAGGAGGGGTTTGAGATATTTGCTAATTGGAATAACATCTGAACTGTCGTATCTGAAAGCTTGTACGTGTGTATATATGCATGTGCATGTATGCATCCATATGTGTGTACTCACCTATTTGTGGTTGCAGGGGTCGAGTCACAGCTCCTGGCCCCGCCTCTTCGCTGATTGCTACTAGGTCCTCTCTCTCCCTGCCCCATGAGCTCTATCATACCTCGCCTTAAAACTATGTATGGTTCCTGCCTCCACTACATCACTTTCTAGGCTATTCCATGGCCTGACTACTCTATGACTGAAGAAATACTTCCTAACATCCCTTTGATTCATCTGAGTCTTCAACTTCCAATTGTGACCTCTTGTGTCTGTGTCCCATCTCTGGAACATCCTGTCTTTGTCCACCTTGTCTATTCTGCGCAGTATTTTATATGTCGTTATCATGTCTCCCCTGACCCTCCTGTCCTCCAGTATCGTCAGGCCGATTTCCCTCAACCTTTCTTCATAGGACAATCCCCGTAGCTCTGGGACTAGTCTTGTTGCAAACCTTTGCACTTTCTCTAATTTCTTGACGTGCTTGACTAGGTGTGGATTCCAAACTGGTGCTGCATACTCCAGTATGGGCCTGACGTAGATGGTATACAGAGTCTTAAACGAATCCTTATTGAGGTATCGGAACGCTATCCGTAGGTTTGCCAGGCGCCCGTAAGCTGCAACAGTTATCTGATTGATGTGCGCCTCAGGAGATATGCTCGGTGTTATACTCACCCCCAGATCTTTTTCCTAGAGTGAGGTTTGCAGTCTTTGGCCATCTAAACTATATTGTGTCTGCGGTCTTCTTTGTGTGTGTGTGTGTGTGTGTGTGTGTGTGTGTGTGTGTGTGTGTGTGTGTGTGTGTGTGTGTGTGTGTGTATGTATGTATGTATGTATGTATATGTATGTATGTATATATATTATATATATATATATATATATTATATATATATATATATATATATATATATATATATATATATATATAATATATATATATATATATACTATATATATATATATACATATATATATATATATACATATATATATATATACATATATATATATATATAATATATATATATATATATATATATATATATATATATATTATATATATATATATATATATATAATATATTATAATATATATATATATATATACATATATATATACATATATATATACATATATATATATATATATATATATATATATATATATATATATATATATATATATATATATATATATATATATTATATACATATGTGTGCATGTGTGTGTGTGTATATGTGAGTATATATTCATGCATGTATGTTTTTATATACACCTGATATGTCTGATCTCTTTGTCATAAACACTGCTTCTCAGTTTGCAGTGTTTATGGTATGTATACTAAACTTCTCTTGGAGTCATTATCTATGATAAATTATATCAGAAATTTATTCCTTCAGCTGCTAAATTTAAATTTTCTTGCACTAATTTTGAGTCAATTTAGTATTTTGTTTCAGGTGAAATTTTAGCATCATGAGCAAGCATATTCACATACAGTACAAAACTGATTTACTCCTAGGAAGATAGACAGATATTATATATATATATATATATATATATATATATATATATATATATATATATATATATATATATATATATATATATAGAATGGATCAAAGTAGAATGACATGGAAAGCATATAAATCTATAGGGGAAGGAAGGCGGGGTAGGGGTCGTCCTCGAAAGGGTTGGAGAGAGGGGGTAAAGGAGGTTTTGTGGGTAAGGGGCTTGGACTTCCAGCAAGCGTGCGTGAGCGTGTTAGATATGAGTGAATGGAGACGAATGGTACTTGGGACCTGACGATCTGTTGGAGTGTGAGCAGGGTAATATTTAGTGAAGGGATTCAGGGAAACCGGTTATTTTCATATAGTCGGACTTGAGTCCTGGAAATGGGAAGTACAATGCCTGCACTTTAAAGGAGGGGTTTGGGATATTGGCAGTTTGGAGGGATATGTTGTGTATCTTTATATGTGTATGCTTCTAGACTGTTGTATTCTGAGCACCTCTGCAAAAACAGTGATAATGTGCGAGTGTGGTGAAAGTGTTGAATGATGAAAGTATTTGCTTTTTGGGGATTTTCTTTCTTTTTTGGGTCACCCTGCCTCGGTGGGAGACGGCCGACTTGTTGAAAAAAAAAAAAAAAAATATATATATATATATATATTATATATATATATTTTATATATATATATATATATATATATATATATATATATATATATATATATATAATATATTAAAAATGTTTTAAGGAATAGAAAGAGCCTTGTGGGATGTGGTTTCCGTTGTGTGATATTTTTGTGAGATCTGAAGAATCTTATTCACCAAGACAACCAGGTGTGTAAGCTCAATATTTATTATTTGTGTTTAGATATGATTTTATTAGTTTTTGTAAACCTCCTTAAAAAGCCTAACACCCCTTCCCTTAATCACGGGCATTAATTCACGTTGAAAAGACAGTCAAATTAAGACAATAAATATCCTAAACAGTAAAAATCTGAATAGTTTGCCCTCCACATTAAGTGGCTGCCCAATTCTTTGTTTTGCACCAATTTTTTTTTTGCAGTTATTTTACGTTGAAATTTTTTTTTTTATGGCTAATGGACAAGTAACCTAGACAAGAAATTTACGAAAATCATATGTGAGATATTAATAGATGTTATGAGATTAAAGGGATGGGGTGAACCTTATAAAAAAAAAGAAACATTGTATAAAGGACATTCAGAAATTGATGTTATGTAATGCAAGAAAACAAAGTGTAAAATAAAGCTGGATCATCATGAGTCGCACACTAGTAATTGTCCACTGATGACGTAGTAAATATTTTTTTAATAAGACGGCCTTTAAATTTGGGGGATTCCCTACCATCCTAACTTGTCCTCTTAACATCAACAGGTGTTTTTTTCCACTCCTAAGCATAAGTCAATTTCTTACTTTTGCTTTTTATAGCAATTAAATATTTTTTTACAAATGAAACCAAAAGACCGAGGAAACCAAAAAGTAAATTTTGATGTTCTACTATATCATAGTCCTGACGTTTGTACAATAATGTATAGATCTTTGCCGAGTTTCTTCAATGATTAAAAAATTTTTTTTTGTACTTGATTCTTTGATTTTTTCCCTTTTTCAATTTTTTATTATTTTTATCATGAGAATACATTGGTAGATTTGATTTTATTTGCTCTTTTTTGCGCATGCATCCACTTTCTTTCTTTTAATTTTTGGATATGAAGGGGCTAAATTCCCGGGAATTTGAGATCAGGAGGCTTTTTTGCATTAATTCCCAAATTTATTTTATTTATTTATTTTTCAGTGATGTTGTTGAACCACTCTTTATTTTTTTATCATTCCTTTTTCTAAATGAAGTTTTGTAACATACCTAAATTTAAAAACATTATCTAATGGTAAATGTTTTTAAAATATAAGGGCCTTCAAAACAAGGCAAAGGTTAAGAGGAAATGAGGGGAGAGTTTTATGTGTTAAAGGAGGGAAAATGGCAGGAAGACAATGGTAGGATGGAGGTTATGGTTGATGTAGCTAATACTAAGAGATAAACAGTCCTAGGATGAGTTTGCATTCAAAGGGGGAACGAGAGAAGGGGACAAAAAGGAAAAATGTCAGGGCACTGAGGTGTCAAAAAAGAAACTGCATGCCTTGATGAATGGGAAATGATCAAGGATGCTGACTGTCAGGATGCCCCCAAAACAACAGAACATTTTCGACTGGTTTTGTAAATTTTCTTTGTACACATCCACCATTGAAGGTGAATCACTTGTTTGATGATCAAATGGGCCCCAAAATGCCGACAAAAGATAAACTTATGTCAGAATGTTGTCACTGCAGACCTACTGTATGCAGTATTTCAGATATCTCCCTTCCTTTACTCCGAAAATACAATCCAAGTACTTTGAGGCATTTCCTTCTAGCAGTTTAAAGTATTACTGGTTCTATGCAGTTAGAAAAAATCTTGCATCTTCCCCAGTCTAATGATTCTCCTGTCAGAAAAGCAATCACTGAGCTCTTCCAGAGTGGAGCCAAGTAATTTAAAGAGTGTCTCATCAGCATTTTTTTAAAAAATTCTTATTATCCCCCCCTGTATTTTCGGCTTAAAGTGACTTTTTCCCTTTCATGTTCTCTAAATGTTTTGGCCCATTTTTCACCTTCTTTCCTTGAGGTAAATTCTTTTTGTACTGTATCCAGTGCTCCCTTTTAGTTTTTTCATTCATATCTGAGCAGTTGAAAAGTTCACAAATGAAATATATAATTTTCTATTGTCCATGGAAAACTTCAATGAATCTGCTTTTTTCAAATTTTCATGTCATCTTCCCCAAGGGTTTCTGAAATTTTTTTCTAAGGCTAAATGTTGCTTTGTTGACTACAACTCTGTGTTTTCTATTCCTTAGAAAACTGAATATATATTTTCTGACTTTTCCTGTTATTCTGCTGACCTTATTTTATGAGCCATCACTCCACTATCACATTTGCCAAAAACCTTAGCAAAGTCTCTATACCTGGAGTTTACCTGGAGAGAGTTTCGGGGGTCAACGCCCCCGCGGCCCGGTCTGTGACCAGGCCTCCTGGTGGATCAGCCCCTGATCAACCAGGCTGTTGCTGCTGGCTGCACGCAAACCAACGTACGAGCCCCAGCCCCGGGTGGTCGGTACCGATTTAGGGGTTGTCCCGTTTCCAGCTTGAAGACTGCCAGGGGTCTGTTGGTAATCCCCCTTATGTATGCTGGGAGGCAGTTGAACAGTCTCGGGCCCCTGACACTTATTGTATGGTCTCTTAACGTGCTAGTGACACCCCTGCTTTTCATTGGGGGGATGTTGCATCGTCTGCCAAGTCTATAAACCACATCTGAATTATGGTTTTCTTCCAAAGCATTCGTGTGTGTGTGTGTGTGTGTGTGTGTACTCACCTAGTTGAGGTTGCAGGGGTCGAGTCCGAGCTCCTGGCCCCGCCTCTTCACTGATCGCTACTAGGTCACTCTCCCTGAACCGTGAGCTTTATCATACCTCTGCTTAAAGCTATGTATGGATCCTGCCTCCACTACATCGCTTCCCAAACTATTCCACTTACTGGCTACTCTGTGGCTGAAGAAATACTTCCTAACATCCCTGTGATTCATCTGTCTTCAACTTCCAACTGTGTCCCCTTGTTACTGTATGTGTGTGTGTTCAAAATGACCACGGGGAAACTTAATGATAGCTCTAGGCTTTTCGTGTTGCAAGCAACACATCGTCAGGAGCTTGCAATGTTGTAGAAAGTATGAAATCCAGGCAGATTCGTTGAATAGATACCCAGGTATTGCACATGTCTTACTCATCAATTTATCCTGAGTTTATGACTGGTTTAATCAGCCTCCAGGGTTAATGACTGGTTTAATCAGCCTTCAGGGTTAATCTAAGAAAGCTTCAGTCCAGAGAAAGCAGACACTCCCAAAAGCAACCTAACTCTTTAATTAGGTGAGAATGTAATTAGGTGAGAATATAATTAGGTGAGAGATAATGTAATCAGGTGAGAGATAACGTAATTACGTGAGAATGTAATTAGGTGAGATATCATGTAATTAGGTGCTAGAGTACCTGCTGCCATTCGAGTCTAGTGACCTCCTGTCTGTCTTGCTCCAGCTGTCTGAGTTCTGTCTTCTCTATGGCAGTACACACCTTGTCTAGCAGCCGCACCAACTGCTGCTCCAATTCTGTAACAACAACCAGGCCAGAGTCAAGACTGGGGGGTGACGTGATGCAACAACCAGGCTGAGAATGAGAGAGAGAGAGAGAGAGAGAGAGAGAGGGAGAGAGACAGAGAGAAACCCTTGTTTTGACTGATAATAATAATAATAGTAATAGTAATAGTAATAGTAATAATAATAATAATAATGGGAAGTACAATGCCTGCACTTTAAAGGAGGGGTTTGGGATATTAGCAGTTTGGAGGGATATTTTGTGTATCTTTATACGTATATGCTTCTAAACTGTTGTATTCTGAGCACCTCTGCAAAAGCAGTGATAATGTGTGAGTGTGGTGAAAGTGTTGAATGATGATGAAAGTATTTTCTTTTTGGGGATTTTCTTTCTTTTTTGGGTCACCCTGCCTCGGTGGGAGACGGCCGACTTGTTGAAAAAAAATAAGAGAGAAATAGAAAAGAGAGAGAGAGAGAGACGTGACAGCAACAAGCAAGAAAGAAGGGAATAAGGATAACAGAGTGAGGGAACAGGTGAAAACTGGCAGAAAAAATATTATATTTTTGTATTATTAATAAATATGTACTAAATCGATATATATGACTGAGAAACATTTCTCCCAAGCCTAATATACCACAAGCCTACACCCTTCCTCTTGATCCAAGGCACAGGAGCTTCCATTCCCTCAAGCCTCATTATTGCCCATTCCCCAGGCGATGTATGGACCCCCGTGGGTTTAGCGCGTGACTGTCACTATACAGGCCAATATGACTATACAGGTTAATAGACCTACCAGAGGCCAGTAGACTTAGAATCAGTAGGCCTAGCAGAAGCCAATAGGCCTAGTAGAAGCCAATAGGCCTAGTAGAAGCCAACAGGCCTAGCAGAAGCCAATAGGCCTATTAGAAGCCAGTAGGCCTAGCAGAAGCCAATAGGCCTAGCAGAAGCCAATAGGCCTACTGCTATAATCTTCTAGCCTTATGTTCTTGTATACAAACAATTCACACATAACCCACAATACTGTGGCTACAACAATTCACACATAACCCACAATACTGTGGCTACAACAATTCACACATAACCTACAATACTGTGGCTACAACAATTCACACATAACCCACAATACTGTGGCTACAACAATTCACACATAACCCACAATACTGTGGCTACAACAATTCACACATAACCTACAATACAGTAGCTGCAACAATTCAACCCACCTGAGGCGTGGACTGGTGCGGGTGTGGTGGTGGGCGCGGTGGTGGGCGCGGTGGTGGGCGCGGTGGTGGGCGTGGGGGGGTCAGCGAGCCACCTAGGGTTAAGTATATGTTGTAAAGTGACATCTTCACCTGAATCTAAGTTGACCAGGTGAAGTTTGTCGAAGCAGGGGGCACTCCGACCCCTGCGTCCCCTTTGTAGATCCTGTAATCTAAGATCCTGTAGTCTAGAATCCTGTAGTCTAAGATCCTGCAACCTTGGATCCCGCAGCCTTGCATCTTGTGGTCTCAGATTATGTGGTCTAGGATTCTGTAGCCTTGGATCCTGTAGCCTAGGATTCTGTAGTAATGTATCCTGGGATTGCAGATCCTGCCATAATGAGTAAGAAATAGAGTTGAGAGAGAGAGAGAGAGAGAGAGAGAGAGAGAGAGAGAGAGAGAGAGAGAGAGAGAGAGAGAGAGAGAGAGAGACAGACAGACAGAAAGAAATATCTTCGTAAAACTCTACAGAGCAAAACATGTCTGGATAAAGCTCTACACTGAACGAAACAGTATTTCATTTCTTTACGTAAGTTTTAAAAAAAAGTTCGTTGCTTGGTTGCAAGCAAAGGGTGTTGTTGCAAAGTTGCTTCCCCCCCCCCTTTCCCTTAGTCCCATGTTGGTATCTGAGGGAAAAAGGCCAAGGGGAGGGATGTGAGGGGAGAGTCGAGAAAGGGATGGATAGGTTATAATAATAATAATAATAATAATAATAATAATAATAATAATAATAATAGTAATAATTATTTTACCTCTGCATAATCCATAGTTATGTAAAACATTTCCGGGGTGAATGGATGGGTAGAGATGGATGGGTAGGGATGGATGGGTAAGGATGGATGGGTAAGGATAGGTAGAGATCAGTGGGTACGAATGGATGGGTAGGGATGGATGGGTAGGGATGGATGAGTAAGGATGGATGGGTAGGGATGGGTAGGTAAAGATGGATGGGTAGGGATGGATAGGTAGAGATGGATGGGTAAGGATGGATGGGTAGGTAGAGATGGATGTGTAGGAATGGATGGGTAGGAATGGATGGGTAGGGATGGATAGGTAGGGATGGATGGGTAAGGAATGATGGGTAGGGATGGGTAGGTAGAGATGGATGGATAGGGATGGATAGGTAGGGATGGATGGATAGGGATGGATTTGTAGTGATGGGGATGCGAGACTAGGGACTAGAAAATAGGTAGGAAAACGCATTAAACCAGAAACAGGTTTTTAACTCCTAGCAAGACTACACCTGAAAGTTAACTAGGGCTAGATAATGGGATAGGGGATTAGTACCAGGTACTGGGTGGATGTATTAATGGTACTGGGGGAGAAAGGTTCTTACTGGGAACCTGGAGAAGTGGTACTGGGGGAGACGTATTGGTGTAGGAGGAATGCAGAACTGGCACTAAGGACCAGAGGATGATAAATTGGTACTGTTACAAGGGGACTGGATAGTGTTCAAGGGGACTGGAGTGTTCAAGGGGACTGGAGAGTGTTCAAGGGGACTGGAGAGTGTTCAAGGGGACTGGAGAGTGTTCAAGGGGACTGGAGAGTGTTCAAGGGGACTGGAGAGTGTTCAAGGGGACTAGAGTTCAAGGGGACTGGAGAGTGTTCAAGGGGACTGGAGAGTGTTCAAGGGGACTGGAGAGTGTTCAAGGGGACTGGAGAGTGTTCAAGGGGACTAGAGAGTGCTCAAGGGGGCTGGAGAGTGGAAAAGAGGACTACAAAGTAGGGTTGGCAATGGGAAAGAGGACTGGTAGAGTACTTACATTAAGAAGGACGTTGTTGTCGTGAGGTGAAACTGTACTGATGGTGGTAGTGGTGGTAGGTTGCAGGTGCAGCAGTAGCAGCCTAGAGAGAGGACCTACCACCAGCTTGTGCAGTCCCCGAGGGACCTCCGCCCCCCTCACACCTCGGTGGTGTAGGTTTAGAGTTACCACTGAGAGTGCTGATGCCAGGCTCACCAAGCAGATAGTCACACCATAGTACAAGCCTGGAGAAGGTAAATACTTACCAGGTACTGTATATCTTTGTTCGATGGATAGTTTATTAAGATGAGGTGAACTGATAGATCAACCTGGCAGTCCCCTTAAGCAGGTGCTCGGTCAGATGACCAAAAGCTCACAGCATGTGGGTCATCATATGACCAAGACCCGCGTCAGGAAACACCTGTCTTGTTTCCTGACTAACTTTACCTAGCCTAAGCTTCTGTGAGTGGCGTTCTTGTGTGAGTCCTGTGTGTGTGGCATTCGTAAATGTAAGAGTAATAATAATGCTTCCCAAACCTGACAGCCGTGGAAAAAACCTGGAGCTCATTACCTTTGTAAATTCTCATGATTAATGTGTTTAGGATTCATTACCTTTGCAATTATTTATGAGTGTGACCAGCTCTACCTGGAGATCATTACCTTTGTAACTTGGTCATGATTATGACCAGATCTAGTTCATTACCTTTGTAACTTGCTCAGCTATCAAAACTTTGGAGTCCAGTCCCTGGACCAATTATGTACCTCTGTAATCTTTTGACTACCGCCCACAGGATGGGTATGGGGTGCATAATAAACATATTAAACTAACGTGGAAAGAAGACGGCAGGGCTTTGTAAAAAACAATTTGCTGTATCCTAATTCAGTCTAACGATGGTGAGGGGTGAGAGACGAGGTGAGGGGAACTAGTGAGGGTACTTACTGATAAGGGGAGTCTTCTCAGTAGGCGGTAAAGACTCTCTGATGGTCATCAAGAAGACAGTCATGGACAACACGGATGAGATACCCAGTGTTACTTTCTCTCCACTCTCACATGGAACATAGAACACCAGCAGCGCTGCAAAATAGTGAAGGGGCACTCAAATGAATGAGACACTCCGAGAGTGAATGAGACAGAGTAAGACATGCTGTGAGAAAGTGGGAGATAGTGTGAAAGGTAGACAATATTAAGGTTAAGGTACACACAGAAAGTGGAGATGGTGAGAGAGAGAAATAATATGGAAGTGAGAGAGGTTCAAAAGTAAGGGAGACTGCGCGTTTATATATATATATATATATATATATATATATATATATATATATATATATATATATATATATATATATATATATATATATATATATATATATATATATATATATATATATATATATATATATATTTGCGGCCCAAGCGGCTAGTTTATTGTTATCCATATCCATTCCGTGGACAGCAATACAGGAACATAGAATACACAAAATACATAAGAGGAAGGTCCCACCAAGGTTAAGAGAAACACAGCAGTTTTAGTGATAATTTATGTCACCTGTCATAATTAAATTGAAGATATTTCCTTAAAATGTCTAGTATCATATTCTTCACATAGGTTTAGTTGCTATCTGTCTATATTCCCCAATAATTGGACAACAAAGTACATTATATACACCTGGAAAATCCTAGAGGGACTAGTACCGAACTTGCACACGAAAATCACTCATTACGAAAGCAAAAGACTTGGCAGACGATGCAACATCCCCCCAATGAAAAGCAGGGGTGTCACTAGCACGTTAAGAGACCATACAATAAGTGTCAGGGGCCCGAGACTGTTCAACTGCCTCCCAGCACACATAAGGGGGATTACCAACAGACCCCTGGCAGTCTTCAAGCTGGCACTGGACAAGCACCTAAAGTCAGTTCCGGATCAGCCGGGCTGTGGCTCGTATGTTGGTTTGCGTGCAGCAAGCAGCAACAGCCTGGTTGATCAGGCTCTGATCCACCAGGAGGCCTGGTCTCAGACCGGGCCGCGGGGGCGTTGACCCCCGGAACTCTCTCCAGGTCTCCAGGTAATAGGACTCAAAAAAGCGACCCTAAAGCTTACCATACATTTTGCCTAGTTTGATCCTAGTCTGTGTGTATGCTAAACTGCCAAAAGTACTTGTAACCAAACCTAAGCCTGGCTATTACATCAGTCAGTCTGTGTATATGCCAGAATGCCACAAATACTTGTAACAAAGCTTAAGCCTGGTTATTACAACATTACTCAGTCTGTTTACATTGCAAACTGCTCCTCCGTAACGGTATTTATCGAACATTCAAGATATCGTAGTGAGTTATAGATCCACTCAGGCTTCTAACTGCATTTCTATGACACTTATTCCCCTCAAGGGAGGTTCCTTGACGCTGGTGAGGGGCTCTTGATCTAGGGAATTGGATCTGTGCTCCAGTTCCCTGAATTGAGCCTGAATACCTTCCATCCCTCCCCCCCACATGCGTTGTATAATCCTAAGGGTTTAGCGCTCCCACATGATTATAATAATATGACACTTATTATTTACTTATCTCCTAATATTATTCCTAATGTTTGAAAATAACTAAGGTTATACCTAACTTCTTCCTTCCAAGCACTTCTTTCAGTTAATTGTAAATTGTGTTTACATTTAAAATTAGATAAACACTTAAGAGGATTGTTTTTGATGCAGAGACTAGATTCACTAATCCTGTTCTTAAGAAATCGGAACTGGCCTATCCCACTCGTAAATACTCAACACTCACCTATCCCATTAATAAGGAGACACGGAAGGACGAAATTGAAGACGTAGAACATGGGACGTCGGCGTATTTTGATGGTGTAGGTGATGTCTGGGTAAGGCTCAGCACAGCACGAGTAGTACGAGATGTTCTTGATGGCTGAGAACTCGACCAGATCGAACTCCCCGTTGGTCAAGTAGTTGGTGATGTCTCCTGCCTCCGTCTGCTTCACCAGGTCCAGCTGACACCCCCAGGGAGCAGAGTTGTGGTTAAAGACATGTGATAAACATTCCCCGTCCTGAGACCTTAACTCCAAGGTTTGACGACCGAAACGCCCCCATAATAATGAGCACCTTAAATCCAAGGTTTCAGGACGCTTCCATAATAATGCTCTGAAGAGCATTTCAGATATCTAGATAAAGAAAATGGGCAGCAAGCCGACAATGACTGCACGACATGTAAACAGTCCGAGATTTGATCGGTTTTTGGCCCACATTATCCACTGCTCTTACCTCTAGTCCCTTGTGTTACTCCCGAAAGGTAACACGCAGGATTCTTGCTTAGTTAATTGGACTTAAAGTTTATTGATTATCCAAAGAATTATTACGACTGTATGCAAAATAACCAGTGAAAAATAGTGAAATTTCCAGCACTTTCGTGATTTCTCAAGAAAGCGCTTGGAATTTCACTATTTTTTTTTTTTGTGTGTGGTTATTTTACTTACTGTTTATTTTAGTGAACTCTCAGTATATATACACTGAGACATATACTGAGACATATACCTCTCGGTGTATGGTGTATCCTATGAAGTTCCTTTCTAAGTGGTTGACGCACTGGCTTGTGAGTTTTAGGATTCACAAGTCATGGGTTCGATACTCATCCATTCTGTGATAGGTATCAGAAGTTTCACCTCACCACAAGGTAGAAGTACGACACCGTCCGCGCTAAACTATGAGCGCAGTGCACAACGTCTCCTTACCTGGTACCCATCAGCGCAGTGCACGTCTCCTCACCTGGTACCCATCATAGGTCCAAGATGCCCACATCATCTTGCAAGCCTGCATGTCGAACGGGAAATACTCGACGTTCATGTCACAAGAGGAGCGGTAGATACCGTGCGTCAACCACGTCACCAGGCCCTCAGACGTCACTATTACGTTAGTGTTGATGGCTGACACCGAATACTGGGAGTCTGCACTGGGAGATAAACACCACCGGATAATATACATGAACATTGCAGATTTATTAAGACTGTGGGACTGATCGCCTCAGATTACCTCTTCACGTCTTCCACCGTAGACCAAACGAAATGTAAACTTTGCCAGATGGACTATTGTCACACCTTGCGTCATTATGTACTGGAGTATGATCAGATTAATGAATTCAGAGACAACTCACTCAGAAATGTTCAAGAAATGGCAAAGTATTTTATCCACAGTGGTATATTACAGACCATTCTGGAGAAATACCCTGACTTTGCTAGCTGTAAATAATGCATTACCACGTGTGTGTGTGTGTGTGTGTGTGTGTGTGTGTGTGTGTGTGTGTGTGTGTGTGTGTGTGTGTGTGTGTGTGTGTGTGTGTGTGTGCTTGTATGTATGCATACATTTGTACGCTCGTGTGCATGTCTGCGTGCGCCTTCGTGTATGTGCGCGCGCGCGCGCTCGTGTGGACGTATGACCCACTTAATATTTGCATTTATAACTCATTACAATTGTGACCAGGTGTGGACGTATCAGTGGTTCATTACTTTGTAATTTGTTCATGACTGTAACCATGTATAGGAATGAGGCTGATTCATTACCTTTGTAACTTGCCATGATTGTAGCAGTAATAACACCAGGAGGCAGCTCTGATGAAAACTCACACTCACACGAGCTTTTAAATCTCTGCACAAAATTCAATTTAAACCAGCAAATAATAGAGCCTACTAGACTGGAGAATACACTAGACCTCATCTTCACTAACAATGATGATCTGATAAGAAATGTCACCATATCAAAAACAATATACTCAGATCACAACATAATTGAGGTTCAGACATGTATGCGTGGAGCCCCAGACCGACATAATGAGACTAGTCACGAGGGAGCATTCACCAAATTCAACTTCAATAACAAAAACATAAAGTGGGACCAAGTAAACCAAGTCCTAACCGATATAAGCTGGGAAGATATACTAAGCAACACAGACCCCAACTTATGCCTAGAACAGATTAACTTGGTGGCACTCGATGTATGCACAAGGCTTATTCCTCTAAGAAAAAGGAGTAGATGTAAAATAGAAAGAGACAGGCGCTCCCCTTTTCAGGCGACGGAAAAGAATAACAGAGCGGCTAAAAGAGGTCAATCTATCTGAAATGCGTAGGGAGACACTGGTCAGAGAAATAGCAAACATCGAACTTAAGCTAAAGGAATCTTATAGGAGTCAGGAATCGCGGGAAGAACTAAAAGCCATAAATGAAATCGAAAGAAACCCAAAGTATTTCTTCTCCATTGCCAAATCAAAGTCGAGAACAACGTCCAGTATTGGGCCCCTACTTAAACAAGATGGGTCCTACACAGATGACAGCAAGGAAATGAGTGAGCTACTCAGTCCCAATATGACTCAGTTTTTAGCAAGCCGCTAACCAGACTGAGAGTCGAAGATCAAAATGAATTTTTTATGAGAGAGCCACAAAATTTGATTAACACAAGCCTATCCGATGTTATCCTGACGCCAAATGACTTCGAACAGGCGATAAATGACATGCCCATGCACTCTGCCCCAGGGCCAGACTCATGGAACTCCGTGTTCATCAAGAACTGCAAGAAGCCCCTATCACGAGCCTTTTCCATCCTATGGAGAGGGAGCATGGACACGGGGGTCGTCCCACAGTTACTAAAAACAACAGACATAGCCCCACTCCACAAAGGGGGCAGTAAAGCAACAGCAAAGAACTACAGACCAATAGCACTAACATCCCATATCATAAAAATCTTTGGAAGGGTCCTAAGAAGCAAGATCACCACCCATCTAGAAACCCATCAGTTACACAACCCAGGGCAACATGGGTTTAGAACAGGTCGCTCCTGTCTGTCTCAACTATTGGATCACTACGACAAGGTCCTAAATGCACTAGAAGACAAAAAGAATGCAGATGTAATATATACAGACTTTGCAAAAGCCTTCGACAAGTGTGACCATGGCGTAATAGCGCACAAAATGCGTGCTAAAGGAATAACAGGAAAAGTCGGTCGATGGATCTATAATTTCCTCACTAACAGAACACAGAGAGTAGTCGTCAACAGAGTAAAGTCCGCGGCAGCTACGGTGAAAAGCTCTGTTCCACAAGGCACAGTACTCGCTCCCATCTTGTTCCTCATCCTCATATCGGACATAGACAAGGATGTCAGCCACAGCACCGTGTCTTCCTTTGCAGATGACACCCGAATCTGCATGACAGTGTCTTCCATTGCAGACACTGCAAGGCTCCAGGCGGACATCAACCAAATCTTTCAGTGGGCTGCAGAAAACAATATGAAGTTCAACGATGAGAAATTTCAATTACTCAGATATGGTAAACACGAGGAAATTAAATCTTCATCAGAGTACAAAACAAATTCTGGCCACAAAATAGAGCGAAACACCAACGTCAAAGACCTGGGAGTGATCATGTCGGAGGATCTCACCTTTCAAGGACCATAACATTGTATCAATCGCATCTGCTAGAAAAATGACAGGATGGATAATGAGAACCTCAAAACTAGGAGGCCAAGCCCATGATGACACTCTTCAGGTCACTTGTTCTATCTAGGCTGGAATATTGCTGCACACTAACAGCACCTTTCAAGGCAGGTGAAATTGCCGACCTAGAAAATGTACAGAGAACCTTCACGGCGCGCATAACGGAGATAAAACACCTCAATTACTGGGAGCGCTTGAGGTTCCTAAACCTGTATTCCCTGGAACGCAGGAGGGAGATACATGATTATATACACCTGGAAAATCCTAGAGGGACTAGTACCGAACTTGCACACGAAAATCACTCACTACGAAAGCAAAAGACTTGGCAGACGATGCACCATCCCCCCAATGAAAAGCAGGGGTGTCACTAGCACGTTAAGAGACCATACAATAAGTGTCAGGGGCCCGAGACTGTTCAACTGCCTCCCAGCATACATAAGGGGGATTACCAACAGACCCCTGGCAGTCTTTAAGCTGGCACTGGACAAGCACCTAAAGTCGGTTCCTGACCAGCCGGGCTGTGGCTCGTACGTTGGTTTGCGTGCAGCCAGCAGCAACAGCCTGGTTGATCAGGCTCTGATCCACCAGGAGGCCTGGTGACAGACCGGGCCGCGGGGGCGTTGACCCCCGGAACTCTCTCCAGGTAAACTCCAGGTAAGATCTACCTGGAGTTCATTACCTTTGTAACTAGCTCAGCTATCATAACTTTGGGGTCCAGTCCCTGGACCCATTATGTACCTTTGTAATCTTTTGACTACCGCCCGCAGGATGGGTATGGGGTGCATAATAAAAGATATTAAACTAACTAACGTCTTCCACCGTCTCCACTGTTATTCTGCACTGGACTGAAAAAAACACTGGTTGTGCAAAACGTCTCCACAATAAAGATACAAAGTGTAACTCATGTATCTTGCTTATCTGCCGATTTTGTGTGCTATTAGTACATAATAAATGAATTACACTGCTTGGTAATTTGTTTCACTCATCCACAACTCTATTGCCAAACCAATGCTTCACTGTATCTGTAGCTACCCTCCGCAGGACAGTTATGGTGTGTACAATAAACTAGTTACTACCCTCCGCAGGACAGTTATGGTGTGTACAATAAACTAGTTACTACCCTCCGCAGGACAGTTATGGTGTGTACAATAAACTAGTTACTACCCTCCGCAGGACAGTTATGGTGTGTACAATAAACTAGTTACTACCCTCCGTAGGACAGTTATGGTGTGTACAATAAACTAGTTACTACCCTCTGCAGGACAGTTATGGTGTGTACAATAAACTAGTTACTACCCTCCGCAGGACAGTTATGGTGTGTACAATAAACTAGTTACTACCCTCCACAGGACAGTTATGGTGTGTACAATAAACTAGTTACTACCCTCCGCAGGACAGTTATGGTGTGTACAATAAACTGGTTACTACCCTCCGCAGGACAGTTATGGTGTGTACAATAAACTAGTTACTACCCTCCGCAGGACAGTTATGGTGTGTACAATAAACTAGTTACTACCCTCCGCAGGACAGTTATGGTGTGTACAATAAACTAGTTACTACCCTCCGCAGGACAGTTATGGTGTGTACAATAAACTAGTTACTACCCTCTGCAGGACAGTTATGGTGTGTACAATAAACTAGTTACTACCCTCTGCAGGACAGTTATGGTGTGTACAATAAACTAGTTACTACCCTCTGCAGGACAGTTATGGTGTGTACAATAAACTAGTTACTACCCTCCGCAGGACAGTTATGGTGTGTACAATAAACTAGTTACTACCCTCCGCAGGACAGTTATGGTGTGTACAATAAACTAGTTACTACCCTCTGCAGGACAGTTATGGTGTGTACAATAAACTAGTTACTACCCTCCACAGGAGTTATGGTGTGTACAATAAACTAGTTACTACCCTCTGCAGGACAGTTATGGTGTGTACAATAAACTAGTTACTACCCTCCACAGGACAGTTATGGTGTGTACAATAAACTAGTTACTACCCTCCGCAGGACAGTTATGGTGTGTACAATAAACTAGTTACTACCCTCTGCAGGACAGTTATGGTGTGTACAATAAACTAGTTACTACCCTCCGCAGGACAGTTATGGTGTGTACAATAAACTAGTTACTACCCTCTGCAGGACAGTTATGGTGTGTACAATAAACTAGTTACTACCCTCCGCAGGACAGTTATGGTGTGTACAATAAACTGGTTACTACCCTCCACAGGACACTTATGGTGTGTACAATAAACTGGTTACTACCCTCCACAGGACAGTTATGGTGTGTACAATAAACTAGTTACTACCCTCTGCAGGACAGTTCCCTGGAGTTTACCTGGAGAGAGTTCCGGGGGTCAACGCCCCCGCGGCCCGGTCTGTGACCAGGCCTCCTGGTGGATCAGAGCCTGATCAACCAGGCTGTTACTGCTGGCTGCACGCAAACCAACGTACGAGCCACAGCCCGGCTGATC